TGCTTACCTGTGTGGAATGCTAGTCCTTCCACCCAGTTTGCAGGAGTCCTGGGGACATTCCTGTTCACTGTTTTGTGTCTCAGGACTTCAAGATCTGTAAGCCTTGCAGTGGGGATGGTATACTCCTCCACCCATGGGCCAACTTTGACAGATCGACAGCACCATCAGCCTGTCAATCACTTGACAGTACAATGACGTCAGGCAACTCATTTTCCTTTAACCTCATGGTTTATGGCAAATGCACAACCCTTTGCAACCACTGGTGATCAGCTGATCGTTGGTACTTTTAAAACCCTTGCAGGTGCTTCCATAGTATTTGGAAAGCACAGTTGCTCACAACTGGGTGATGTTGGTGCTTGAAAGAGCTGTGCTGTCTCCTCAGCTGCACTAGAAAGTTCTTGATGTGCAGCCAGTTTCAGTGGAGCTCACAGTTGACTCCAGACAGCTTTGTTAGCAAGCCCCATTATGAAGCCATGTTCTTGCCTGCCTCATAGCGGATATCAGCAGGTGTGGGCAGGGCTGGCTACCCATGAGGCAAGGTGAGGCAACTGCCTCATGCGGCAGGACCACAGGTACAGCAGACCCAAGTGTGGATCTTTATTCCGTACTTGTAGATCTTCACTCACCCCTTCCCTGGCAGAGAGGAGGACGCCATTTTGTGCTTTGCCTCAGGTGCCAAACTGCATTGGGCTGGCTCTGGGTGTGGCGCAGGAGGGTGTGGTTTGGCGAAAGCAGCTTCTTAGGACAAATTGCAACCCATTTAGGTCTTCATTGGGTCTACAGGATGGAGCTTCTCCATCCTGCCTTACAGGCTTTAGAAAAATCAGTGTTCACAAGTGTTGGAAGAGCACATTGATCTCAAGCCAGGCTGTTTGTACAAAGTCCCTTTTCACCAGAGTTCCCCTTTGTGCGCTCTAGGCATGAGGCCAGTGATGTAGCCCAACACAGTCTCACTTGCTATTTTTTGACATGTTTATTTACTGATTACATGCGATTTGGTTTACTTGTCTGGGGTTTATATATTGCAGGCTGAGCTGTGACCAACTACAGAGTTTGCATTAAGGAAAGGGCTTTACTAGTGCTGTTTTTATTATTATCTGTATTTTACTAGATTTGTGTTTAATATTGTTTTAATTCTATTAAGAGTTGAATTACTTTTTGGCAATTATCTTTTATATGCTTTTAGCTTTTTGTATTTTATCACTGCTGCTCACTCATTTGTGTGAGCCTCTTTGAGTCCCAACCTGGGGAAAATGTGGGATATAAATAAATATAATAATAATAATTTGATGAAATCTTAAGTTCAGTCGTGGCTGCGTGGGAAGCGATGGGGACGTTATTTTGGGCTCTGAAGGGAAATAATTTATGTGACTCTTCCTTGCTGGAGTCATGTTATGCTGTCCCTGGAGACAGGACTGTTATGTGAGGGAGTTGAGGTTACCAACCTCCTCCTTTCCCAGCTCTGCCCAAGTCTGGCTCCTCTGCTAATGGAGGTTTGCCAGGGTTACATTGGCATAACCCTGGTGGCACGTGTGTGGCTCCCCAATGCCAGCGTTTCTTCAAGGTACTCGAGTGCACAATCAGTTTTGTTGGTATTGCATATTATTGGGCTTTCATTTTCTTGCTCAAAGCATTGCTGCAGTTCCTGATACCCCCGGGCAGAGCTGCCTAAGGTCTGGCACATGGGTAGGCAAACTAAGGCCCGGGGGCCGGATGTGGCCCACTCGCCTTCTCAGTCCGGCCCCGGGACGGTCCGGGAATCAGCGTGTTTTTACATGAGTAGAATGTGTGCTTTTATTTAAAATGCATCTCTGGGTTATTTGTGGGCATGGAAATTCGTTCACCACCTCCATATAGTCCGGCCCCACCACAAGGTCTGAGGGACAGTGGACCAGCCCCCTGCTGAAAAAGTTTGCTGTATCTGGCATGATACAGGTGGAATGAGGGGAGGGGACTTTCCTTTTCGGCCACCTCTCAATGTTCAGGATTAGAGAGGCAGTCATGGCAGCCTAGTGTGAAGAGGGACGCAGTGCTGTGCCAGAAACCCACACAGATAATTCTGGCTCCTGCTTCATTATCATCATCCTTGCCTCATTCTTTGTTATGTCATGGTTTATTTATACGCTGCATTTTGGCCCAAAGCTTATCCCCCCCCCCCAAGTGTCAAACAGCTTTAGAAGAGTGGTCGCTGGCTTTCCTGTAGTTCTGGTCAAGGGGCTGAAGTAATATCCCCACTCTTGGTTGCGGAAATTTTGCTCACTCCTTTCTATTCTATTGAATCTGGTCTTTGGTTTGACAGTACAGTGGTACCTCGGGTTACAGACGCTTCAGGTTACCGACTCCACTAACCAAGAAATCGTACCTCAGGTTAAGAACTTTGCTTCAGGACATGAACAGAAATCGCACAGCGGTGGTGCGGCAGCAGAAACAGCAGCAGCGGGAGGCCCCATTAGCTAAAGTGGTGCTTCAGGTTAAGAACAGTTTCAGGTTAAGAACAGACCTCTGGAACGAATTAAGTTCTTAATCTGAGGTACCTGTACTTAACCTGGTGTGTTCTCAAAAAATAAATTCTAGAGCAAACTTATTCTTAGGCAGTTTTTTCCTTGGAAGAGTGGAAAATGTCTGCACTGTTTCTCTTCTTCAGCCCCCTTGTCTGCAAAACAAAAGGGGTGGTTAAAATATGTTAAAAAGTAGTTAATCTGGCATCTGTCAACAATAAACAAAAATGTCCCCTTCATTTACTTGAAAGCACTGAGTACTTTTAAAGTTGCCGATGTGATAATTCATTTAAGATTACCACGAATAGTCATTTTCAATGTAGAAGATGTGAGGCACAGGCAAAACTCATTTTCTTTGACTGCAGTTGTTCTTATTAACAGGTTTGGTGAAAAGAAAGTATTTTGACTTTTGTCTACAGATTCTGCATTGCTTTGATGGATTTCTGAAACCATTAATACAGTATTTGCATTCCTGAGCTGTTGACAATTTCCGGCCCAATCCTCTCGCTCTCAAGGGTTTTGCTCATGGTGCCATTTAGTTGTTTGCCAAGCCTGCTTTCAACCTGGAGGGACCCTGGAGCAGCAGTGCTTTCACCTGTGATCTGCATATGGAGGAGCAGGCTGGAATGGGGGGCCAATACAGCTTGTTCCTCCCTCGGCTTCTTTAAACTGCTCCTGCCCCCCAGACGAGTGATCCCCAGCGCAGTTTAAGGCTCAGCTGGGAGGCAGGCGCCTTCCCAACCCCCAGCTGAGCAGAGCAAACAAGCTGCATTGTCCTGGCTCGCTCTGCCTGAAATATATATCTCTTGAGTGTCAAAGGCCTTCCATGATGGCAACTCACAGAGCTGATAGAACATGTGTAGTACAGTGGTACCTCTAGTTACAAACTTAATTCGTTCCGGAGGTCTGTTCTTAACCTGAAACTGTTCTTAATAAGAGGCGTGCTTTCACTAATGGGGCCTCTTGCTGCCGCTGCGCTGCCGGCACACGATTTCCGTTCTCATCCTGGGGCAAAGTTCTCAACTCAAGGTAACTCTTCCAGGTTAGCAGAGTTTGTAACCTGAAGCGTTTGTAACCTGAGGCGTTTGTAACTCGAGGTACCACTGTAATTCCAGTATAACTCTTGGGGACTGCAAAGCTTATGTTGCAAGAACTGTCCATTTATTTCCACCCTCTGTTTCCTGTTTCTTTGATCAAGTGTCAGTCCATAAGATAAGTCATTCTGTTTATTCAGCAAGTTCTGGTGAGGAACCTCATCAAAAACATTAGAGAAGTTCAAGACTATATAGATAGAGGTGAGCTGATGGACATGCTTGAGAACCCCTTCAGACAATTAAAAAATGTTGGTTGGACCATACATCCCATAGTAGAAGTCCTGTTGATTTCTCTTCAAACACTGGTGTTTTTTTTTTGGTTTTTTTTTTAAAAACTTTAGTAGTGCTTTCTACCAATTTACTTGCGAAGCACATCAGGTGCATGGATCTGTGATTTCCTGGCTTTCCCCACTGTTTCAATATTTGTGTGAAATGGGCTACTTTCCAATCTTATGGTATGAAAGCCACGGACAGGTTGCATATTTTTTGTTAGATAATCAACAATGTTACATCTGAATTCTTTCAAAATTCTCAGGAGTATATCATCTGTACCTGTTTTTTTTCCCTTTTATAAATTATCTGTAGAACTTCATCTTGTTACTTCTTTTATTCTATGTATAATTCTTCCAATATCCTAGCAGGAAAGAGCAATCCATGTGTCGGTATGTCATCAGTATCTTTTGCTGTGAAGACTAATGCCAATAATTCGTCCAGTTTCTTTGCAATCTCCCTATTTTCTTTCTGTAGTTATTTTACTTATTTGTCATCTGGTGCTACAACAGTCTCCTTGGCTGATTTCCTATTTCTGATGTAGTTCTGATGATGATGATGTTGTTGTTGTAATGTTAGCCACAAGGACCACTACTGTAAAGAGAAAATCAGGGCGTCTCTAGGATGCTTTTCTGTATGCTGGGTAGGAGATGTGCTGCTGGACCATATGGTCAGGGAGTACATCACATAATATAGAGGTCACATCTGAAAAGTGTGTCCTTCCACAACCTGTGTATCTGATCCTCTAGTCTGGGATATGGAGCTGGGCATGACCCTTAGTTGAAACTGGTTGAGTAAAACAGGATGGTTTATCTTTGAATGCCTGGAAGTGTGCAATGACCATTAGCTCTGTCTCCCAAAATGGAGGTCTGACAGGCCGAGAGCTGGATGTGATGTACTTTAGACTTCCTACTCCTAATCTCCTTAACCTCACCATCTGCTGCCATCACTGTTAGATGATAACAGATACAGTTTTGCCATGAGGCCAAAACAGCACTTAAACTGTTGCAGTCCCATTGCACCAATCTTTAACTCTTAGGAAGATACAGGTGTCTAAGGTGATAGCGTGTTCTGGCAAAGGACAAAGCTTTTATTTTACTTTTTCACCGATAACTTTAAGCTAGAGTCACGGAACATCATGGGTAAGTTTCTACCAGTCAGAAACATTATTTGTTAGGAAAGAAATGTAAGATCAGAGAGAAGCACAATAGAATTGCATATAAAATCAAACTTAGTAGCAGAGTTCAAACCGCTGCCAGGGTTGTTCTGTTTTTAACATAAGCTTCATCCGTAAACATTGACAAATGATAGTGCTCAAATTCACTTTGTGTAAATATCTACCTCCTGATTGACTTACAGAGCAGGCTGGGCAAGTTTCTTTTTGATCAGTTGGCAACCTCGTCTTTAACAACGCTAGGCCAGCCAGTCTGCCTTTGGTCTTCAACCCCAGATACATACATTCAACCTGGCATTGCTTTGTATTTTTCTCTGCCTGGTGGGCATGACTGGTACCAAATTGTGTGGGAAACCGCCCTGCTAGAAAAGTTAACCAACAAAATTAAATTAGCACAGGCACAAGCAAAAGAGGATGCCTTCACACCAGTGTGGCTCCCCTTTATCACATATACAGCTCAACAGGACAATGACCTGACCCCTCCAACAGCGTACAAATCGATATGGCTAATCTGACCCAATCCCCCACCCCACCCCACCGTTTCACACATACAAACAAACCAGACTGCAACCAACTGAATGTACCAACCATGTACCGACCCTCTAATCTCTTGCACTGCCAACAAGAACGAACGAACGAACGAACAAATGAATGAATGAATGAATGAATAAATAAATAAATAAATAAAGGACCTACTCACGTGACCCTGACACAGAAACCCTGCACAAACACTATGCAATAGAATGAAAGATCAGTATCTCCCCTTCTTTCTCCCTTGCTCTCTCTCCCTGCCTCTCCCCCCCCCCCCCCGGTCGCATATGATGTCTGCAACAGCAGTATCTCACACAGAATGGAACTGAACTGTGAAAAAAGACTATGAATTGAAAACAGAGATGCTAAATGTACCTTTGCTATACAAGAAAATCTGTAATAAAAATTAAATTAAAAAAAGAAGAAAACTGGCAAGCAGGTGCTCATACGAGTATTTAAAGCCCTAAATGACCTGGGCGCTAGATACCTGAAAGATGGCCTCCTTCCCCACATTCTCCCTGGGGGATCAGATCCTCTGAGGTGCCCTTGGGCAGTTTGGGAGAGGGCAGTCTCCATGCCAGCTCCTGGGTTGTGCAATTCTCTCCCCACAGAAGTGTGTCTAGTGATGTTAAATTCTCGAGAATATTCTCAATTAATGAGAATATTAGAGAATTTTCAGTTAAAATAGGAGAATATTCATTTTAATGCATTGAAAATGATATAATTAGTTAATATACATGTTTATTCATGGGTGAACTTTTTCAGATGGAAACAAAAAACTGTAAAGATATGTTTATTTGATGGGGCAATGCCGGGAATTCCATTCTTTGATTTTTTGCACCAAACTTGAAATTGAAAATTCAACACGAATGACTCACGTTAATCACTAAGCCTGCCATTTACCATATATTTACCATCGACTTGAATTCTTATTATGTTGTGTGTGTATGACTTTTAAAGTAAAAGGAATACAGTATAAAAAATCTCAGGTCTGCTACATGAGTACGTTCTTTAATAAGCATATCTACATACAGAAATGTCAACCTTTTAAATCAAGGCCACCTCACATGCTGTTACACATAATTTTATAGGCCTAGGTACTTTAAGTGTATAAAGCAGGTACTGTATAGGCCCTCCAGATGTTTGGGACTACAATTCCCATCATCCCTAGCTAATGATGGGATGATGGGAATTGTAGTCCCAAACATCTGGAGGGCTGGAGTTTGCCTATGCCTGGTATAATGCATTAAAGCTACTTTCTGAAAAGAAAAAAAAAACAAAACCCATCCCACACTGTATGGCCAAGGGTATAGAATTGCTAAGAATAAGGTCACACCAAAATAGAAAAAAGGCTATTACATATGGTTGACATACATAGGAATTCAAATGTTCATCAAATTAAATGAATAGCATGTATAAAACTAAAAAAATGTTTTCTGTAGCTCACATTTCAGAACTGCCAATGGTGAATGACACAATGCCCAGTAATGTAACTGGATAAAAAACCCCATTATTCATTACTTACACTGGCAATATCACAGCTTGACTTATTATTTACTAGATTTTTTAAGTGTGTGTTGTAAAACTAGTTCTTTCCTTAGAATTTACAGTTTGGAGAATATTTTCTGGAGAACTTTCTAGGACAAAATATTCTCGAATATTCTCATTCACAAGAATATTCTCATTCACGAGAATAGTCTCACATCACTAAGCGCGTCTGGCACCGTTCTTAGTGTGTCCTTCCTATTTCTCTCACCTTGGTCTTTGACAACTGAATGTGTGTTTTCAGGAACCCTGTGACTTACAGTTTTGAACTGTTTTTAATATTGAATTTTAATTAGTTGGTAAACGGATCCTGGGATCTAACGGAGAAGGGCAGGAAATAACATTGAGTAAACAATAATAATCTTACCCACAGCACCAGCCTGTTTTGCACCAGCCTACCTGCCTGAACTGATCACCTTCATGTTGTTCCTTAAAGGCTTGATCTTTTGGGCATAGTTATCCATTCCATGAATACTTTTGGTGATGTGATGCAACTAGGGGCAAATTATCATTGAATTTTCTGTGCCTGGCTACCTGGCCCCAGGGTGCAGACTTCTTTAAATGTCTAACTCCACAAAGGCGTCTCGCCCCAACACCCGCCTGCTATAGTAGCATAATGTTTGTGATACTTATAAACTGGCAGTAGGTGGTGCTGCTAGTGCTGATTACATAACAGCATAATGTAGCAAACAGGGGGACTGTTCTTGAAAAGGCCCTTGCCTTCTCTGTGGTAGACAGGAAGAAGCCATTCTAGTTCCTTGGAAGGAGATGATGTTTACTTTACATTAGAGTGGTAATGAGTTTTTCATGGGAGATATTCAAGCAAAATCTCCTAACTCTTAATTTGCTTGCAGAAATTCAAATGCATATTCTCGTAATTTGATTTCTACCCCAACATCAGCAGTTAAGCGTGCTGTGGGGCTAGAATATTTTAGGAAGAAGCAAGGAGCCAGCAAGTTGATACTTAAAACATTATTTTAAAACACATTACAGTGGTACCTTGGTTTACGAACTTAATCCTGTCCAGAAGTCCGTTCTTAAACCAAAGTGTTCTTAAACCAAGGTGTGCTTTCCCATAGCAGCGGAGGACTCAATTTCCAAATGGAACACACTCAACAGGAAGCGAAATATGTTCTTATTCTAAGACAAAGTTCACAAACCAAAATACCTACTTCCGGGTTTGCAGCGTTCTTAATCCAAGTTGTTCATAGACTAAGTTGTTCTTAAACCAAGGTACCACTGTACTTAAAAAAAAAAATATACCTCAAAGCCATAATTTCAGAATTCTAAAGAATTTTTAATCTGAAATGTATTAAATTTCTAATCTGTTACCTTGTTTCAGCTCTGCACTGTATAAGTAAGCAACTACAGAGAGGAGACAAGGACAGATTGCTTGCATAAGAGGATCTTCAGTTAAGAAAGAACAGTCGACCAAAGTGTGGTAGGCAACTTTTTTAAAGTCTTGGTTGTTGTAATGTGGGTTACAAATTAGCAGAATGGACCTACTGGTCTCTGTGAGGCTCTGCTTCAAGCCAGTGGACTCCTTGCCTCTACTTTCAACAGGAGGGAGGTGAGCTCTCAAATTCTTTTTAGCCTAACTAAGGGACACTTGGTCAGGAAATCTGATTACCATCTGCTAGCCCATCAATAATGGAGCTTAGTAAAACAGCTTCGCTCCATCTGATTACTTGGTCTAGGAATCACACAGCAGCCGCCCACCATTCTGAGTGACCCAGGCTGGCAGATGATGTGCAAGGAGGGGCCTGGGCTGAGGCTCCAGAAGGGGCCAGAATTTGCACTCCCAACTTCTACCTTGTTAGTTCTCATTTCTGTAACTCGGTTTTTCCATGGCTCTTTGTTTATTCCTTCCAAAATAAGCTACAACGTGTGCATTTTCGCTGTGCCTTAACACTTGGGGTATCCTAGAAGGTTTTGTTCGGGTTTTAAATGCTGATGTTTCGTTTTGCGCTGAACCAGCATGAATGATTTTTGCCACCAAAAATGAAGAACTTCCTCCTGGCAGAGATCCTACTGGAAAGGTTTAACACGTCATCTTAATGGTTCATACTTAGACAAAATAGATGCCATCATAAGTTAACAGTGAATATTATCATATTAACATAAAATGTGAAGATTCAGATCTGAACGTCAAATCTGCAAAATGGAGTTTCACTTCCAACCCGGCAAAAGCACTATTTAAAATGCATGTAACCATTTAAATCAGCCTTTCTCAACCTGTGGGTCCCCTGTGGGTCTCATCACCCCTAGCTAGCAAGGCCAGAGCTCAGGGATGATGGGAGTTGTAGTCCAACAACATCTGGGGACCCACAGGTTGAGAACTGCTGATTTAAATGTTCTCATGCGTCATCCCCAAACCAGCACACAACTTTGTGCATGTGTGTGGGCTTCGGCCAGATTGGATGGCTTTAAAAAAGGATTGGACAAATTGATGAAGGATAAGGGCATCAATTCCTGCCAACCTAGCAGTTCCAAAGCACGTCAAAGTGCAAGTAGATAAATAGGTACCGCTCTGGCGGGAAGGTAAATGGCGTTTCCGTGCGCTGCTCTGGTTCGCCAGAAGCGGCTTAGTCATGCTGGCCACATGACCCAGAAGCTGTACGCCGGCTCCCTCGGCCAATAAAGCGAGATGAGCGCCGCAACCCCAGAGTCGGCTACGACTGGACCTAATGGTCGGGGTCCCTTTACCTTTACCTTAAGGACATCAATTGGTACTAGCCAAGATGTGCATGCTCTGCTTCCACTGTCGGGGGGCAGTAATGCTTCTGAACACCAGTTGCTGGAAACCACGCGGCAGGAGGTAAGGCAGAGTGCCCTTGCGCTTGGGTCCCTCCTGCGGATTTCCCATGGGTACGTCCCATTTAGTCCGGGATGCTGGCCTGGACGGGCCATTGATCTGATCCAACAGCCTCTTTTTATGTTCTTGCCAATTTACGCTCACTTTTGGATATTGCATGTGTTTGGTTGACCTTGCTCCCAAATAATCAGGAATATCCAAGTTGGATTTATTTTGACAACTGTCAAAAATGCAACGCACCTAGTTTCAGCAACACACCTAGTTTCAGCTCTCATTTTTACAAAGTAAAATGATTGGTGGGTTGTTTTTTTTAAATAAAATTTTCATTTTTAACAGCATTATTTATATTTAAATCATTTTGAAATTTCACACATCTGACATTACTTGAATCTTTGGACTCTCCCCGGTTTCAAATATTTGTCTATTCTTTCTACTGCATCTAATTACATTTTCCAAATTCATTTTATATCCACTTTTTATCTTTAACCTTATAACATTATAAATGTTATAACAATCCTGCTAATGTTTTTAAATATCTACAGTGATCTTTAAGGTACTCTATAATTTCCCCCCATTCTTTACTAATTTTCTTCTCATCTTGGTGTCTGATCTTCATGGTCATTTTTGCCGTTTCGGCATAGTGTACATCATCCAGGTTATCCATTCTTCTATGATTGGGACTTTCTTTTCCTTCCATCTCTGGGAAAAAAGCATTCTTGCGGCTGTTGCTGCATGCATAAACAGTCTTTTCAAATCCTTTGGTATTTCATCACCTCTTGTTCCTAATAAGAAAACTTCTGGCTTTTTGACAAAGGTTATCTTAAACATTTTTTCAATTCATTATATATCATTTCCCAGAATTATTTTGTTATTTTGCATGTCCACCACATGTGGTACAATGTGCCTTCTTTTTCCTTACACTTCCAATGTAAGTTGGAAGTGTTTTTATACATTTTTGCTAATCTTACAGGAGTCAAATACCAACGATACATCATTTTCATATAGTTCTCTTTCAATGTACAACAATCCGTAAATTTTTAATCCTCCTTCCACAACTTTTCCCATGAGTAAAGTTGTATATTATACTCAGTATTTGATATTGGGCCCCAATATGACTGTGATTGTAAGTCCAAACTTACATGACACTCAGTGGGTGAACCAACAGACTTAGAAATAATAGGCAAGAATTATTATTTATACTGCTTAACGCCAAAATAGCCTTCTAAGCAGTTTACAAGTGTCAAAACCAATGTCACACAAGCATTAAAATATAAACAACTATAATTAGGGTGCACAATTAATAGAATTGTTTAAAACTTTTAAAAGATAAACACCCATAATTAAAATATGCAGTAATAGGATACTTGAGTCCATAGAGAATATTGAAGAAGCGAGAGATGTCAAATGGTAGCATTTGAGTAACAAAATAAAGAAGCAAGCCACACCTTGAGGCCCCTTGTCTGTCCGAGCAGAAGGGATGGGTTCTGTCTACTAATCCGTAATATACGGCCTTTTCTATTTTGAACTCTTGTGATCCCTCTGGAGTGAAAATTTTTAAGGATTAGCTGGGGGGCCTGGAGCTTCAGTTGAATATTCATGAGGCAGGGCCTTCTCTCCCTCCTCTTCCCACCTCCTGCTGTAGCTGAATCTCGTCTCTTTATTCAGCTGAGCCGAGAGTCTCTGCAGTGCATTAGGAGAGCTGGCAAAACATTCTGTATCAGCAGGACAAGGGGAGAGCGAGGCATCAGCATTATCCTTTGGAACTTTGTCCTGTCTCCATTTGTTATTGAAAAGTATAAATGCAGAATAAGCTGCTGGAAAGGCAAAGTCAGAAAAAAGAAAGTGTCACTCTTTGGGGGCTGCTTCAGACAAGGGCAGTTTTCCTAAATAGATGTCTCTTCCATGTGGACCATGAAATGGCTTGGCATGTAGTAGGAAGCCCTGGCTGGTGATGGGGGCACACCATGTATGGTGTGGGGAAACAGGCACCTCTGCATTCATCACATGTGCTTTATCCAACACACCTCCATCCTCCTACCAGTTGTGACATGTTTGCTCCAAGGAACGCTGTCTTATCCACTTGCCTGATCATGGAATGAAACATCACTCAGGAATGTCAATTGTCACATCTTAGCATTTCAGGAGAGGAGAGCACAACAGAGCGCTGTCTGCAGTGTATTTAGATTAGGATGAGAGCCAAATCAAGGACCTGGAGACTTAAATGAGTCACAGGCTAGATATTGGGTGGGTGGGTGTTTTGGTCAGAAAAGGCAGGCTGTTGGAGGAAGATCTAAGAGGAGTTTTGGTGTTAACGATAACGGGGAAGGGTGAGTAAAGATTCAGAAAGTCCGAGTGGAGCATCTTTAGTTAAAGGGCCTGAAAATGCAGAGAAATACCTTCATGGCCTAGGAATGGCTAAAAGAGCAGGCAGGAGGAGAAGGTGAAAACTGTGACTGATGAGGCAGCTGCTGTGGGGGGGGGGGGAGGGGGGAGAGAAGGTCCTTCCTGTTTGCATCTCTTGGCAATGGGAGACGGGGCTGCAGATGGGAGTATCTCAGCCAGCGTGTTGCTGAATAGATGGTTGTAGAGGTCAAACACTGGAATCAGCTGGGGTGACTCAACAACAGCACACTTACGCAGTGCTAGCTGTGACACCCCCACATCCACTGCTGTCTCCTGGCACTGAAAAGGAAGGGTGGGGAGCCTGCCCCCTCCAACAAGCAATCTGCCTCATCTGTTGTTTCTGCTTCCGAACGTTGCAGGTGTATTCACATGTAATGGTGAGCCAAATCATGGTTAAGTGCAAAGGTTTGGGCTCCTAGGGTGAAGTTCGTGGCCACTGCACTCCTTGGGAGTAAGTAATGGTTTGGCATAGTGTGTTGTTTGAACCCAGGCTCATGGTTTGTCTGGTGTGAGACAAATCACAAGCCTGGGTTTGTACTTCAGCTAAACCCAGCAGTCACTTCACCCTAGGTCAGCAGCAGGGTTGCGAGAGGTGTGCTGTGGCCGCAGTAGTTCATGGAAAGCCATGGTTTGGCTTTGCGTTACATGTGAACCAGGCCAAAGTGTGTTTCTCATGACTCCCTGAGATGCCTCATTAGGTGGCTTTCCACTCTGAAGGTTGTTCCCATTACAACTGAACAGATCACAGAAGATGTTGTCTTCCTGTCTGGTAGATCAGATTTTCAGTTATTTCCCCCTTCCCCTCAGGCACAGTCCACCATGCCTCCCTACCTGTAGTTCACTTTGGGTGCAATCAGATCATATCCCACAGGATCCTGAGGGGAAGGGAAGTTGATACAATTGACGGGTTAGGGCCAGTAAATGGTTTGTGGAGTAAGAGGCAGCTGTGTTTCCTGCACATTCATGAAGTCTGTTGGCACTCGTTTTAGCCCCCACACTCTTCCCAAAGAGACATAATGCTGACTGGCAGCTCATCACCAGCTTGCCGGTCTACCAACGGCATTCAGTTCCTGTTGCTCTCTGCTTGCCATCCCCAAATCTGACAAGCCACTGTACATTCAGGATAGCGCAAAGAGCAAGAGCTGGGGCACAGCATGCTCTCCCTGCTTCTCCAGAGCTGATGCCAAGTTGAGGGCCCTCCTTGATAGCTCCTCCTCACCGGTCCAGAGGGAGCAGGCAGGTGCTTCTCCTCTTCGCTTCCATCGTCATGGCCGCAGTTCACTCAAGAGAGCCAGCAGGTGTGCAGGCCGTGACAGTCACTGTTGCTGCTTGTTCACCTGTGGTGAACGTTTGGTTAAGACTGCGGAGATCTTCTTTTTAGCCTATAAGTATCTTGTTTTGGCTTGTAGTCTGCTGTGTATAGCCAACAAATTTCTGTAACGTTGCACAAGCGGCATCTTTATTAAATAGCTACGCTGTAGAGCTGCCTTCTACTTAATCATGCTGTTAGTCCAGCTAACCCAGTGCTGCCATCTTTGACAGCAGGGCCTCAGGCTGAGGTGTCTTCCCCAGCTCTGACACCTGAGAACCTTCAACAGGGGATACTGAGTTGAACCAGGGACTGTCTGCATTCAGGGCATGTGTTCAACCACTGAGCTGTGGCCCCTCTCTTAGGGTTACGATACAGGGAAGTATATTGCTAAAATGTGATCATTTAAGCTTGTAGAGTTTGCATGCCTTTGTTAGGAGTACGGAAGCTTTGCAGGTTCACATTCTGTCTGTTAGATACTTTTGGACGTGTATCTACATATGATGCAAATCATATGCAAATTTAATGCAAATATATGCTCTCTTACTTTCAGTGGGTTGGAGGGACCAATCTGCATACAGTGTACAGGGCCAGAAATCCTATGGGCATCTTGCATAGGATGCCCTATTCTATTCTGGTGGTGGTTATCCTGTTTCATGGGGCATTCCAATAGGTCCCTTCCTGGGAGATATTCACATTGGAAAGTGGGCATTCTAATTCACCTAGTAGCTGTTCCTTCTTCTTTACAGCTGGAGGACATAATCCCAATTATGTACTTTGGCGCAGGGAGCTGTGCAAAACTTTGGCAGTTGTGGGAATAAGTTCTTTCAACAAACCTTACCACCTCCAAGAGTACTTCCTGGTTTTTATCCTCTGTAGCCTGAAGAATCTTCTTTCAAACTGGCTTCAATCAAAACTGCAATCCTATATGCATTTACCTGGGAGTAAGCCTCATGGAGGGATGCGGTTGGCGCTGCGGTCTAAACCACAGAGCCTAGGGCTTGCCGATCGGAAGGTTGGCAGTTCAGATCCCTGCAATGGGGTGAGCTCCCGTTGCTCGGGTCCCAGCTCCTGCCAACCTAGCAGTTCGAAAGCACGTCAAAGTGCAAGTAGATAAATAGGTACCGCTCCGGTGAGAAGGTAAATGGCGTTTGCTCTGGTTTGCCAGAATCTGCTTAGTCATGCTGGCCACATGACCCGGAAAAACTGTCTGCGGACAAACGCCGGCTCCCTCAGCCAGTAAAGCGAGATGAGCGCCGCAACCCCAGAGTTGTTTGTGACTGGACTTAACTGTCAGGGGTCCTTTACCTTTACCTTAAGCCTCATGGAGCGCAGTGGGAATTATGTCTGAGTTGACTTAGGTGTGTTCTAAGAGTGCCTCCCTTGAAAACACCTCACATGAACCTGCGGCAGCTCTGTGGCATGAGAATTGCGGCACTGTGCTAGAGTAGTTCTGGCTTACCTAAGGGACCATGTGGAACCGGCAGTTTTGCAGGTACCACAGAATACTGATTCTGCACTTGTAAGAAACCTCTCTTTCAGCATCTACACGTTGGAACTCGCTATCTAGGGACAGTGGGCAGGAGCCTTCGCTAGGCTCTTTTCAGAAGCTGCTTAAAACATTTTTGTTTTGACAAGTCTATCCACACATGCAGAAGCTACATGTCTTCTGTTTCATTTTAGCTGCTGTTGATTTTAATCAATTTTTGAATATTTTAAAATACCTATTTCTAACAAGTTTTATCAATAATTTTATTTTTTTAAATAGTTCAGTAAACCACATAGAGGTTTCCTTAAATTCAGACATTATAAATGTTTTGTTACATTCAGAATAAATGTTACATCTTTATAAGGGTGAATTTTCACCAGGTTTAGGGCAGTTTGTAACCTTCAGATGACATGAGCAGGCTGTGCAATTGTTCTAGTTCCAGCCTTAAAAGATCCTTTACCTGTAGCAGCTGCTTGCCCTGAGCCTGACAGCTTTACAAACAAGATAAACATTTAAAAGCATGGTATGTGTTCAAAATAAACCCTTTGACCTAATTAGCAGTTAGCAGAGGTGCATCCACCATCTCTGGTCATCCATAGTAACTTCAGTCCTTGAAGCAGAACACTGAAAATGTAATAGTGCTTATTTTTGTCTGGAGATTGCTGTGTCCCCCCCCCCCCCCCGTTCCTGGCAGGGTTTATGTGTGCAGCAGATCAGAACAACTAGTGCACCTTATCTTTAAAATCCCATGTTTTGGGCCCCTTAAAGAGCAAGTGAATAAATGCAGCAGGTAGTGATGGTTTCTTTGGAGCTGTTACAATCTGCCATGTACAATGAATCCATCTTAGTTTGTGGATTATCGGTCCGGTAGACTGTAACAGCTCTGTCAGCTCCTTCTGGTATGGTATGTCCAAAGGCAAACTAATGTAGCTTATGTGTGGTTTTATTTCTGCTCAGAATATTCCCAAGAATTTGTTCCATGCAATATGCAATAGAAATCTTGGCTGCTTCCTATTCTACTTCTGAAAAAACAGCTGAAGAGGTTCCAAGGATTTGTGGAAGAAATTATACATACTTGCTATAGCTACATCTATTTAATATACAGTGGTACCTCGGGTTACAAATGCTTTGGGTTACAAATACTTAGGGTTACAAACTCCGCTAACCTGGAAGTAGTACCTCGGTTTGAGAACTTTGCCCCAGGATGAGAACGGAAATCGCGCAGCTGCACGGCGACAGCGGGAGATCCCATTAGCAAAAGCGCGCCTCAGGTTAAGAACAGTTTCGGGTTAAGAGTAGACCTCCAGATCGAATTAAGTGCATAACCTGAGGTACCACTGTACTAAAAAAGGTCTGCCACTCCAGATTCCCCACCCCCTGCTGCCATTGGTTGGAACTGCTCTGACATAATGGAGTGTTAATGGTGAGAGAAAACACCCTAATGGCTTGAGTGCTGCGGCCAGATTGCTGGCTGGGGCTGGTCATCAGACGTGATCCAAAGTGCTGGTTATAACCCATAAAGCCCCACATGGCTTAGGTCGAAGCTATCTGAAAGATTGTATCCCCTCATAGGGACCTGCCTGGGTTTTGAGAACCTTGAGGCTTTCTCTCGGTCCCACCACCCCCACAGGCACGCTTGGTAGGGGCACAGGAGGAGACCTTCTCAGTGGCTACTCCCAGAATTTGGAAGTCTCTCGCTGGAGAAGTTAGACTGGCTCCCTCCTTGTCCTTCTGCCGGCAGCTGAAGACCTCCTTGTTCCAACAGGGTTTGGGGAACTGATGGTTTTTAATGAAAGGGATGGTTCTTTCCTGTTCTTATTGCAATGTTCCAAACAGATTTTATATAAGCATATAGTTTAAATTCTATTCATGTTTAATTGTTTTCAATGTTTTTTTCCCTATGATTTTAGCGGTTCTAGTTTTATCTGTATAAAAGCTGCCTTGAGTCCTGTCAGGGAAAAAGGTGGGGTAGTAGTAGTAATAGTAGTAGTAGTAGCTATAGCAAGTATGTATGTATTAGCTAGAGCTGGCTATATGGGCCTTTCTAGGGTTGTCACACATGCTTTATGTCCTCTGCTTCCTTCTCTTGCAGAAATCAGTCTTAAAGGGCAGAGACAACTTTTGATTTTAAAAAGTATATGTCCTTGGATGTTGGGCAATTGTGGGCCTGGAGATGGTGTTAGGATAGACTAGGGAAAGCCTAACTGGGCAGAGCCTGGCATCCCAGAAGACCATGACTTAGGCAGGATGGAACCTGGTGGTGGAACCCCATGGGCCCATTTTGATCAGGCTAGCTCAGAAGTCTTCTGGCTTTTCCGATCCCAATGTATCCTGTGGGAGATTCTTCTGCCGCCGCGTCTTCCAAGTCATCAGGTATAGGGCAGTATATATATTTAATTAACAACAACAACCTGGACAGAAAGGGAGGTGGAGAAAGAAGATACCACAGGAGATTGTCAAAAGAAGAAGGCAAATGTGCATTAATAGTCTAACTAGGGTGGGGCAAATAAGCACGTGTGTGTGAAATAGGCATATAAAGATAATTGGTTGTCTGTCTTTTGCTGTTGATAGTACAGGAGATTTTACTGTATATGGGCTGGTTGTTTTTAATTGAATCATTATGGCTGGTTGCTGAAAGCAACAATAACCTTCGTTTTTTTCCAAAAGCTGATAAAATAAAATGATTTTTTTTCTGTTCCCAGTTTGACATAATTCAACATGTTTTTAAGGTGATAGATTAAAGAAAAAAGCCAGTTATCAGAGCCTTGCTCATAGGCTTATAAACCTTCTTCTCACATGCCAGCTCATGCATTCAGCCAGGACATGGAGGGGAGCAGCATCACAAGGCCATGGCCCTAATCTCCTCATGGAGAACTCTTTCTTGCATTCCTGGCAACATGTGGAGGTCAGTGGCGGGACAGGCAGCCTCAGCCCTCCTCCCCTCCTTGCGTTGACAGGACGTGGGGGCTCTGGATGGTGTGCCCAGGCCTACTGAGGCAGCGCTGTGGCTTCTCCTTGACTTTGTCGGTCAGCCACAACATGAAGGGGCATTCATATATGTGCCTCTTCGTATACAGGGAAAGGAGAGGTGGGAGCTGTTCTTTGCATGGGAAGCAACATTTGAGGAAAGGGAAGGTAAAGGCCCTTTGTGCCTTGGCTCCCTGCGCTCTCCCTCAGCCCTGCTCCAGTAGCAACGCTGAGCTAGGCTGTGAGAAAACTCTGAGAAACAATAAAGTACTGTGAGGTAAGATGCAGGGGGAGAGGCTTTTGCGTCCCTCTCCCATGCACGCTTTACCATGTGCAGCTCTGCCTCCACAGTCTGAGGCAGCAGTGCTGCAGAGCATCAGTTGCTGGAAGCCCGGGGGGCTGGAGAGGCCTCTTGCTTTCAGGTCCTGCTTTTGGGTTTCCCACTGGAGCGCCTGGTTGGCCACTGTGAGAACAGGATGCTGGCTAGAGGAGCCGTTGACTTGATCCAGCAGACTCCTCTTGTCTTCATTGCATCCTCTGCTTTATATGTGAATATGACAGGCATGCGGATAATATAAACGTAGCTGCTCTGTTCCAAATACTGTATTTCACCACGTAATGGTTGCATTTTTAATGCTGATTTTTCTTTTCAGAAAAAGGGCGGTGCAACTATTATGCAGTAAATGCATAGTTTAGCCTAGGTCTCTAACCCTGCCCCGTGAGCCCCACTCGGAAAAATGGGGCTTGCTGCACAGGCCCAGCCTCAGGCATGCGCCCCTCTGCCGCTCACTCCCCGCGCAGGCAGTTACTGGGCGCTGGGCACATCCATGAGCCCCAGCTGCCCACCTCCGGGCAAGACCTTGCTGCTGCTGCTGCATTTCTCCTCCATCGCCAGCTGTCTGGCAAGGCCTCCTCAGCCGCTGCCACCTTTGCTTCCCGCGCAGGGCTGCCTCATCCTCCATGGGCTGAGGGCCGGCTCTGCCAAGAGGCATGTCCCACAGGCAGGCCTGGGAAATGGCTGCACCAGAACCATTTCATGTACAAAAGCGGGGGAAAGCTGTTGAGCACAACAAAACACTCCAGAGCAAAACAAAATGTCCCACTGGCAAGGCATTTACACCCCAGCGACTATCATGTGGTGAACGCTCTGGGGACTGATTTTAGGGTCCAAAAAAAGAGGGGATGCGACTATTATGCGGTGGTGACCATTACATGGTGAAATATGTTAGTTTGGCCTCAAACCTCCAGACAAACACAGCAGTCATTCACTGAATACAGACAGCAGTGGAGGGAAAAGTGTGAGTGAGGTGTGTGGCTATCTATAACTTTTTTGCACAACAGCTTCTGAGCTGACTCACGGTAGAGTAGCAGAGACAGTCTATCTGGCAGCAAGAACGGCGGAAACTGACTCATTTTTATGCTCAGAGACTTGAGTCCCACTAACACCAGCTGTGACACAACCGTGTTGGAGTATGTAGGTGTGGAAATATGGCATCACCCATCATATCAACTCCACTCAAAGGAGTGGGTGACATACATAGAAACTTGTGTTTTGTTGGAATTATGGGGTTAACCATAACCTCTTGGGACTCCTTATCTTTGGGTCCAGTACACTTCCAAGTACCAGGCCCCTTCAGAGTATCACGCAGCTTCCAAGCTAGTTCCAGGTCTAGCATGGAGCGTAGCAATAAATTGCAGGAAACATTCAAATACAGACAGAATTCTTTACTGTTGTTCTTTAAGCATAACAGTTACAACAGGATACAACCATCTATCCTCCCTGATAGAGGTTTAGTTTAAACTGTTCCATCTAGCCCTAAAGCTGCCAGACCTGCTCTCACATCTTCACACCACAAGAGCAGCGTTCAGACTAAACATCTCTCTGTGTCCAGCACTCAAACAGATATGTAGGAACATTCTTTAGAGTGACCTTGCACCTGTTGTAAACAAACCAGCTTCAAGCGGCTTTTGGAAACCCTTGTTTCTGGGAATGAATGACTCTCACCCCCAACATCACCTGCGCTTTCTACCAAACTCGATAATGAAGTGCAGCCCAGTTGCAACCCTAGTCAACTAGACCCCAGTTGCCAAATTTGTGTGCAAAAGCATCTACAAAGAATCTCAAGGGTGCAGTCCTGGGAGTAAGTGCCATGTGGACTTGCTTCTGAGTAAACATGCATAGAATCAGCACTGTAAGATTGCTGCAGTTCTGCTCTCTAGGTGTATTCTTAAAGCGGGGGGAGGAACTATTACTTTACTTCTTTCCTTTTTTTAGTATACTTTTAAAATCATTCAGCTTCTGGAGTCTGGTATTTGCAACAACCCCTTTGAGAGCCAGTGTGGTGTAGTGGTTAAGAGTGGTAGTCTCGTTCGCGTCCCCACTCCTCCACATGCAGCTGCTGGGTGACCTTGGGCTAGTCACACTTCTTTGAAGTCTCAGCCCCACTCACCTCACAGAGTGTTTGTTGTGGGGGAGGAAGGGAAAGGAGATTGTTAGCCGCTTGGAGACTCCTTAAAGGGAGTGAAAGGCGGGATATCAAATCCAAACTCCTCTTCTTCTTCTTCTTCTTCTTCTTCTTCTTCTTCTTCTTCTAGTAATTTAAGATGAAACCTACAATTGTTGTGAGGGAAGCAAAATGGGGGCGGGGAGCTGCAGAAATTTGTATAAATAAACTTTCCGCATCTAGGCCCTCTGTAAGTTTTTTCTCTAAACTGTGACATCCTAGCAGTCCAGGTAGGGTCTACTGAAGGACACAGGGCTGCTGTATATAGTTTAATATCACTTGGTGTGAGGTGTGAGACATTTCATGTGATGAGGAGCCAGGAAACAGGCCATGTTTTGAGCAGTCATTCTGTGATGAACAGTAGACTGACCTTCAGCTTACTGGTGACTCTGATCAGACTCCTTCCCTCTGCTTCTCTCTGTCCACCCTTCCTTTATGCACTCAACTCTCCATATGGCCTCTTTTGTACCCCATCCCATCCACCACAGCCATCATTCGGCTCCTTTCCGCTGTCTCCAGCTTCCTTTGAGGCAAAACACTCTTGGATGGAAAGGTAACCAGTAACCTTTGTTTAACCTATATTTTGTCCTTCATTCAAGTTCCAGTGTCTTTGATTCGGTTTCTGCAGCACTATTTGTGGGACAAATCAAAAATTTGCCTGCTTTACTGTGGGATCTCTGCCTTATTTGGGGGGCGCAGTAGCTGCCTTAACATGGAATATTGAGTGATGCTCCTCCTCTTGAGTTTGAGATTATGATACTGATTTGAAAAAAAGAACACACAATCTTACTCCCCCCCCAAAAAAAAGATCATGGTGAGGAGATAGCCTGGTTTGCTCCTGGGTATTTAAACAAAGGTTTGATTTGCAGAAGTCATCAGGTAAAGCTTTTCATAGCATGGCAGTAAACATTATCACCTACTAACGTCTGGATACCAAGCTGCTGTGAAACAGACAACTACAGGACTTGCATGCTTCAAAAGTTGGCAACCCTTGAGAGTGAGGCCCCTGTGAATAATAAAAACAGGGAATTGGCCCTTTGCACACTGCAGATAAGTAGCAAATGCTTCATACAAGCATTTCCTCCCCCTTCCATGATTGCTGCCATAATTATCATTTTCTTCTGTGTTCCAATTTCCAGGGACAGATCCATGGATTTGTTGATGACTTTCACGTGGATTATAATTTAGCCTGTGGCGATCTGCTGTGGTCCGTAGAAGAACAGACCATCCACCTTTCTGCTGCTTTTCTGTTCAAGCTGAAATCCTAAGGTAGATTATTACTATGATCAAAGACTCATTAAATAAGGCACTGGACTAATTTCAGACGTGTGGTCTACTGGAGGACAGCTTTCACTTCACAAGTTTACACCACTGATTATTCTGTGATCAAAACCCCTTGGCTTGTGTGGATTCACACATCCAGTGGGCAGAACCAGAGGTTGGTGGATGCAGAAAGATCCAACAGCTTGGAAAAGTTTATTCTGAGAGAGATCCGTGATCGTATAGCAGAAGTTTTGTCTTTAATATGCAGTGTTGGGGCCTCTGATGAGCCCCACAGGGTATGCAATACTCTTTACATTATCACCATCACCATCATCAATATTACTATTATTAATTTTACCACTCTGGGCAGCTCACAGCATACACCAGAACACACTAAAACATCAAACATTAAAAACTTCCCGATACAGGGCTGCCTTTTGATGTCTTTTAAAACTCAGGTAGTTGTTTATTTCCTTGCCATCTGATGGGAGGTTCCTTGTAATCTTGGTTTTTGCAGTGAGGGAACCACCAGAAGACCCTTGGAGGAGGACCTTAGTGTCTAGGCTGGAGCGGTGGGGGTGGAGATGGTTCTTCAGGTATACTGGGCTGAGGCCTTTTAGGGCTTTAAAGGTCAGCACCAACACTTTGAATTGTGCTCAGAAACGCACTGGTTGTCAATGAAGATCCTTTAGGACTGGTGTTATACGGTTCCAGCGGCCGCTCCCAGTCACATGAAGGGGATAACACACAAGCGCTAACCAACCCTGCCCCTAGATGTCAGCATGGTGGTCTGCAAAGAAAAATCCTGTCCACAAACAGCTATTCCATGTGTAGGCTTCTTCTTTGCAGATGACCACATGAACATGCATATGTTTAAATAAGGGCGAGGCAGCAGGCTTGCTACCAGGGCCAGGAGTGCCACCCTGCTCCTTAGTATTGCATGATGCTCCATTCACACAAGCAGTGAATGAAGGGGGACTGGGCTGCATCCTGTAAATAGTCGAAGGCAGTTAGCAAGGCCATGTGGAGTCAGCGTTCTTTGAGTGAATTAATGATGGAGAGCTCAGAATCAGGTTGTGGTGGCTATACTGAATTAATACAGAGTATTATGTGTGTAGCATTAATTGACTACAGGTACAGCCCAATGCATACTTACCTGTGTGTGTGTGTGTGTGTGTGTGTGTGTGTGCGCGCGCGCACGCGCATGCATACAAAATAAACACACCAATGATTGCTTTGTAAGGCTGCAATGTTCACTAACTTAAGGTAAGTCGTGTTGAAATTCGGTGGGAATTATTTTTGTGTAGGCACACACAGAATCCAGCTGCAACAGTTGCTCCACCTGGCATGGTCACCATCACTTCTAATGCCATTTGGATAAAAATCATGACAAACTCAATCTCTGGGCTGCGGGAAGAAGGTGCCACTTAATCCATATGACTGTGGAGAAAAATCTGAAAAATTATTTCCCTCTTCATTTCATTCTTCACCCTCCAAATTGCTAACAACATAGAAGATTTGGAGAGAGGTTTCTGTGGGAAGGAGGGAGAGCAAAAATCTCCAAAAGTTATCCAAAATATTGCAGGTAATTTTTATGATAACTACAGACTTTGTACAATCCAGCTGCAAAATTTGAGGGTTGGGCCTTCAGAATTTTTAAAGTATAGAGTTCATAGGCAATTTTTTTTTAAACTTTAGTTTTTTTGCCTGAGGTGTGAATGGAACTTGGGAAGCTTAATAAGAATCCCTTCCTCTGGCCAGTTTGTGCAATGATATATTGAGCTCATAGAGGGAACTCTCAAAAATTGTCTTATGCCAACGGAAGTGGCTGGATTCCATTTTTCTGGTAGCTCTGATAACAGATGGATTTTCTCCCGGCTTCAGCTGTTCTCCCCGTGCTTCCTTTTCCCTTGAATTCCAGCTCATGGCCTAGCATGTTGTCATGAGGACTCCAAGCCAAGCACACCCTCAGGCAGCCCCTCTCAAGTCTTCTGTGACCAAATGTGTGTTTCTCTCGCCATGATGTGTGGGTGTGTTTTAATCCTTCTCTAAATGCAGAGAGCAATACTTGATCGGCAAGGAGCTGCCTGTGTGGGACACTGGTCATCGTTTTGTTGTTTGTTGTTAGAGGTGTTGCTAAGGTCTTAAAAGATCCAGGGCGCAGGCCCATACACACAGATATGTGTAACATTTGCATAGGCTACTCTGTAAGTATAGGTGCACATTTAAATAAATTATGCTGCTCCTTAATTAATTCTCCCGGTGTAATATCCTACTGAGTATCTCAGATCATACTGGTAGCATCTGGCTTGGCAGCATCTCTGTGCTGGAACCACTGGCTGTCTTGGACTGTCTTGAGAAGATGGGGGAGAGAAGGCAGAAGAGAGAAAAGGGATGATTTCAGTCAAGTCAGTTCCCAACAGGACACTGTAGACACCCTGTTCTGGGCTCGTTCCCTATCCATTGTTGCCATTCTCAAGGCCTCTCCTGATATCTGTAGGTTTCAATCTGACCCATGATCTGTGGACTAGAAAAATGCTGAGAAGTGTTGACTTATCCCTGTGCCTTCACCATAGAAGCTGTCGCTGTTACAACTAGCCAGGCTAATAGCTGTTCCTAGTTGTAACTCTAGGACATGGAGAGGGGCACAGAGGAGTGCTAGTAATACTCATCAGGAAGGTAGAAGAAAGCTCCAAGCTAAGCACAAAAAAATCACTGACCATCAGTAGCTGTCGCTGTGTCTTGGCTGTGAGATCAGCTTTAAGAGAGCAGCTCTGGTTCACTCTTCAGTTAGAAAAATAGAGGAAAAATCCAAACAAACCTCAGCCACCAGTCATTTGTTAAGAGCAAGAGCAGAGGGCGCCAGCAGCACCAGCAATTGGCATAGACAAGCGGTGGGCGAGTTAGCTGCATGGAGGAAGCATCTGTAGAAGCCAGCTTGCCAAGTCACCATTATCTGCATGATCACAGGACCCACACAGGTGCCAAGCAGCCTCAGAGGTTTGCTCAAATCCTCCCTCTCCCGCCTCACAACCTGTTTTATGGCCTTCTGAGTGTCTGATGGGTAGAAGGAACAGTGTGGGTGGGAGGAGACATACGCCTGTCATTTGTCCACAGGGCAAATGAAATCTATGAAGTGGCCATTTTAATTTTCATTATCTCGGTAGCCACTCTGCCTTTGGACACCAGTTCTCCAAGTGGCTAGAGAGATAAAATGTTAAGAGAGTTTCTGCAAATAGACTTAAATAGGATGTGCTTGCATAATTAAATCGGTAACAAGCCTGAGCATCTAGGAGTGGGTCCCTTGCATCAAAAGGTATGTCACTTGCAACTTTTGCTCAGTGTATTCCTACTTAAGATAGAGCCCATGAAAGGCTCCCTGCTGTCCTGAGAGCAGCTAGGACTGAACCACTGTTGTCATGGGCATGTAAGGTAAAGGTAAAGGGACCCCTGACCATTAGGTCCAGTCGTGACCGACTCTGGGGTTGCGGCGCTCACCTATCTTTACTGGCCAAGGGAGCCAGCGTACAGCTTCCGGGTCATGTTGCATGACTAAGCCACTTCTGGCAAACCAGAGCAGCACACGGAAACACCATTTACCTTCCCGCCGAAGCGGTACCTATTTATCTACTTGCACTTTGACGTGCTTTCGAACTGCTAGGTTGGCAGGAGCCTGGACTGAACAACGGGAGCTCACCCCATCGCGGGGATTCGAACCGTCGACCTTCTGATCGGCAAGTCCTAGGCTCTGTGGTTTAACCCACAGCGCCACTAATTGCACATCTGGCTCCCAATTCAAAGTCCAGGCAGGAGAAGAAATTAATGCAAGTCTGAATAAGGGTTGCACAGCCTCCCCCCCCCCCAATGGATCCAGTACTACTCTCAAACCTACTTTTATGACTGTTGCTTTTGTTTCAAGAGTGGAAACACCCAGATATTTGTAGCTCCATATTTGGACTGCTGTTTTGTATGCAATGAGCTTGTACCCGTCAGTGCAAGAGTACTGTTTTATGCTTTTTTGGATCACACTTCTGTTTGTTTTGCCTTTCTAAGTGGGGTGTATTGCAAACAGACAGCTGCTTTATACTGGGTCAGGCCATAGGTCCAGCTAGCTCAGTATTGGCTACATGAAGTCTGGCTAACCTTTGACCCTCCAGGTGTTGTAGACTACAACTCCCATTATCGCTGACTCTGGAGCTGTGGGAGCTGGAGTCCAAGAACATCAGATGAGCCAAACCTGGACTACACTGACTAGTAGCATCTCTTTCCCAGCCCTGTCTGGAGCTGCCAGGAATTAATATTGGGGTCCTTTTGGTGCAAATCATGTGCTCTTTGACTGAACCTTTCCCCTTTGGATTTTTTTAGTTTTTATTTTATACTGTGGGTTTTTTTTAGTGTTGTAAGCCATCTGGGATAGCTTAGGAGAAAGATGAGATATAAATATATTAAATAAATTAGGTCCATTAATTTCAATGAGTCCTTTGAGTAAAATGTTGTTGTATACCATGCATAGGAAGGCATCCGTAAGCTACCTGTAGAAGTGGCACATTCCCATCCAGGATACCTTCAGGTCCAGTGGTTTGGCAGTGGTTGTAGTCTTCCATATGGTTGTGTTCATGGGCGTGATGAGGACAGAGCTGACTTTATCACGAGGGGAGGGCCTGAGTGAAAAACAACACGGTGCAATTGTTTCAGCAGACACCTAACTCTTCGCTAATTCACTCTTCCCTTTTTAACTTTCAGAGGCACCTGTTGTATATGAAACTGCAGCACGTGTTGTAATGGCCTTGGAAGTGCACTGAAGACGGACCTTGCCCCCTCCCCGCCATCATTTGTGATTGGTACTGTTAGTATTGTGGCGGTGCGTTGTTTTCCACTGTGAGTGGGCTTCCTGCTTTATCTGGTCTCCTCTTTGTTAAGAAAAAAGATGTCCGAAACTGGCTCTCATCAAGACGCCAGTTCCAAGCCAGGCCTATTGGAAAAAAACAAGAACCCAGATGACTCTCAGCCGTCAGTCAATTCAGAAAGGAGGAACAAAAGTGGGATAATAAGCGAACCTTTGAACAAAAGTCTTAAGAAGTCTCGACCACTCTCCCACTACTCCACTTTTGGTAGCACCAGCTCATTAAGTGAACATTCTGAGAAAGGTGCCCCCGTAGCCAACGGCAATGAAGCAACTATGGATAAAAGCAATTCTACCTCAAAGCACAAAAGCATCTCCGACATGCTGAGCAAATCAGATATTTCTGCAGAAGGACAGAGCATCTTGCAACAGTTTGCTCAGTCGACAGAGCTGCTCAAAAGAGTAGTCCAAGAGCACATTCCCCTGCCTAATGACCACGGGACGGGCATCTCAGACATGGAAGCCGTCTCGGCTGCAGAGACAATGAACAGCCCATCTGATTTTCCTTACCTGGGGGCTTTTCCTATCAACCCTGGCCTTTTCATTATGACCCCTGCTGGCGTATTTCTGGCAGAGAGCGCACTCCATATGGCTGGCTTAGCAGAGTACCCAATGCAGAACGAATTGGCATCTGCCATCAATTCAGGGAAAAAGAAACGGAAACGGTGTGGCATGTGTCCTCCTTGCAGAAGACGGATAAATTGCGAGCAGTGCAGCAGTTGTAGGAACCGTAAAACTGGGCACCAGATTTGCAAATTCCGAAAATGTGAGGAACTTAAAAAGAAGCCTTCTGCTGCACTGGAGGTAATTGGGTTTGGTCAGGCAGCTTAATAGTTCCCCCTCAGCTGCTCTGTGTGGAACCACAAGGCCAATTTATGTGGACTGGATGTGGAAATGTCAGGGGTTTGAATCTCTTAGCAGTTCTTACCTTTTATATTCCACTTGGCTTCAGTCTTCTCACATGCAGACCATTATTATTAGTAATTGGGAAAGAAACTCTCAGATTCGCCCTCACTCCTGTGATGATATGAGTGGCTCTCTGGGGCCTTCTGTAGACTCCTTACAAATAGCTGATGGTGTGTTCAATCTGTTTCTGGATTCTATTATCTCAGACTGCATCTGAGATCTCACAGGACTTAAAACACTCCTCCACAGGGGAAAAATAATAATAATAATAATAATCCCCGACATTGAAACTAGCATGACAGTGTGGGGGTTGACATGCTGCTTTACATGTAATTATAATAATGTACATAATGCTTTCGATTGTTCAAAGTGTTTCCATTTCTGTTATCTTCTCACCAGTGTTTTTTCCTTAAGAAAACAGGTGCCGGTATGCACCATGCCCACCCCACCCCCGCTCGCTCCCCCACCTTTGCCCCTTCCTCCTGCTCCTCCATTGCTGCTGCTTCCTCCTGGAGATGCTTTGGCGCGACCCCTTATGATCGACAAAGCGCCTTCTGGGAAGGTGATCATAAGGGTTGCGCCAAAGTGCCTCTTCTCTGGCATGCCCTTTTTACAATCGTCAGACACCTTCACAGGAAGTAGCGGGGGGGGGGGAGCAGCAGCGGTGAGATAGTTCGGGGGGGTAGAGGTGGTGGTACACTGACCGAAAAAAGCACTGCATCTCACAATTCTTACAACTATAAGTAGATGAGCATTATTGGCTCCATATTTCAAATGAGAGGCTGATTCAGAAATATGTAGTGGCTTGCCTTGGTGGTAGCTTGGCTGAGTAACAGGGACTTCCTGATTTGTAGCTCTGGCTCCTTCACCACAACACAGCACTAGTTCTCATTTTGTACAAATGGGTGTTCCTCTGCCCCACTTCAGTAAGGAAGCATAGACATCAGAAGTGGTACAGTTTGGACAAAGATTTATCACTTCAGCTGCTGTTTGTGAGAGCTAGGCCTTAATGCCAAAGTCTTGTATACCATAGGGAGAGAACATGTTTCCTCTTCTTAACCGTTGGCCAATCACCAATTTACAGCAGTTTCTTCTAGCAGGTGAACTTCATTTCAAAATGTTCTAATTACATTTCTAAGCTAATACTCTGAGTGAAGTCAAGACATTGTGGCCTCTCCAAAACCTCTACTGACCAATTACAAACTGACTTTATAGGTTTAGTATATGAAGCTTCTGAGTACAGATCCTCCTACTTTGACTATTGGTCACTTTCTAAGTCTTGGGCATATTTCTTTCCCAGCCCAACTACCAACTGCAAAATGCCAAGTTGAGTGGGTTTTTATTTCCTGGAAGTCCCTTTGGGAGGGGTGAAGTGTGTCTTGTCACAGATGTTGGGCTGTCTTGACTTAGCCTAGCAGTTGTGATTCTTGAAAACTCAATGCCTTTGTTGGTGCAAACACTTCTTGTCAACGGGATGTGACTTAGTAAAGATTACAGACCTCTGCCTAGCAGCTCTCAGTCTTCCTTGTAAGTTGAAAGGGGGTTCTTGGTGAAAACAAAGCAAAACACAGTGAAGTAACATGACAAACATGCTATGGAAGATGGCAAATGAAAGAACAGGACCAGTAATCAGATGCATATGAAATGCAAGCAGATCAAGGTAAGGATGCAACCCTGTCAGTAAACAAAATTATCTTAGGAAAGTTTAGCGCATCTTAAGATGCAGAATAAATTTTACTTAGCTAATCGGTCAGTTTCCCAGATGTGGAAAGGTTTGGGGCTGTTCATTACTCACACTAGAGCAGGTTGGGGGACTGGGGATTTGAGGCAAGGACCCCAAATCCCAAAGCTGCCAACTCTCTGCAAGCCACATTGACAAGTGGGCCGGGTTGCCCACTTGACATATGACATTATGTGTGGATAGCATTCAGTGCTGAATACAAGCCAGGCAAGGTAGTGAAGCAGTAGCCTTTGGGCAGAACTACATGTTACATGCAAATGTGTGCACCAAACCACGATGTTTGCTGCTTCAATAGGGGGGGAAAGCAGGTGCTGTTGAGAAGCTTGATACTGGTAATCCAGAATGGAGAAGCAGTGGGAAGAGATGCTTAACCCTTCTGATACTTGTTGTTTTTCTTCTGAAACACTCATCACCTCTTCCATGAGTGCTTGCCCACTTCTGTGGGGTTCCTGGTGCCTGTTTGCAAAATGTAAAGACATATTTGGAACCTGATGGGAGAAAAAGCAGCATAGCTGGGGAGAGGAATTGCTAGAGAAATGTAGCATGCATAGGAAAGGGTTAAGCATCTCTGCTCAAAATTGCTCCCTTCCAAAATGCTTTTTGATAAAAGCAGCAGCCATCATTATTCATATGTAACATGTAGCTCTGCCATTCTCTTTCATATAAACAATGCAGTCTCGATTGAGAATTGCTTTAGGTGATGGATCAATTCTATTGACACTCCTTGCTATTCCTGAGTTGCAAAGGTGTCAGGTCACAACTGAAAGAAGGATCCTGCAGCTTTGAAAATTAGGTTCTGTGGCTGATGCAGAGCTGATCTCCCCATCACCAAGCAGTGCTCAAGAAGAACGGAGGAAGCTGAAGAGATTGACCCACTTGGTTTGAGCCCCATATGATTGCAAGCACAAACAGAAAATATGCACTGCTGACATTTGGGCCTAAGCTAGCTAGCTTTATTGAATGGAGGGAAGCAAAGTATTGTGTCTATTTGACCTCCCCCTTGTTCCTTATTTGGTGGTGAAGGGGGAGAGAGAAGGCATGTGGCATCCATGTTTGTACAACTCTTTGCTGCTGGTCTTTGAAAGGTACAGGCCCCTTCTCCAGGTTGCAACCCTTTCTTGTTAGGCAGCTGGCTAATTTTTTGAAAAGCTTCAATTTCTGGGGTGGGGGAACCTACCCCCTTCAATTCCATTTAATCTAGATATTGGGCAGTGGGGCAATGAGTTTTTTTTCCTGGTTATGCTGCTTAAGTTATTTTCTCTGAAGTTAGTGAAGGCTGTAGGCATCACACTCTCAATGAAGACAGCAGTACATTGCACAGAGAATGTAATAACTTGCTTTCTTATTAGCCACATTCAACGTTTTTCAATTAGCATCACTTAGGGTGGGGGGGGGACCAGTCTGGGGGTGGTGATATGAGGGGCTGGTATCTTTCCCAAACTGCCATATTGCTAAATTATATTCCTGTTCTAATTTGCTGAGTCAGTGATCTGGAAAAGGGGAAAGGGGAAAGTCCATCTCTCCTAAAGAGACCCAAAGTGGGAAAACGGATTCCACAGTGCATATTAGGCTGCTATGTTTTCCCTCATTCTCTTTGCGTTATGGGGGAAGTTAAATGACACAGCGAACCTGTGGAAGGCTTTATAGATTGGTTTTTTCTTTTTTTTGTTCTCTTGCTGACTGGGAAATGGGAATAAATGAAACTGCTTTCAAATTATATGATGGGACTTGCTCCATTTACAGCAAGTCTACTCTAATTTTGGGAGAGTTAGGACTAGCATCTCCCAAGCAGTGGCAGGTGTATTCTGAGCTAAAATTAATTGCTACTGGTTTATATCAGATAAATGAAAATAATGTAAGGAGAAACCTGCTCAGTCTTTGATATCTCTAATGCTGCAATCCTGTGTACACTTTCCTGGGAGCAAGCCCCAGTGAACACAGTGGGACTGACGTTGGAGAGAGCATGCATAGGAGATAAGAGGCTGCACAAGTAGATAGAAACTGCTTTATATATATATTAATGGTTAGTGTGGATAGGAAATAAAATGTTTGACTTTCATTTGAAGTTAATTTTGTCAGAATCCTTTTAAAAAAGAAAAAGAAAAAGAAAGAAAGGGCGGGTGTCCCGCAATAATTTCAGTTGTCCTGTTCGATAATGGAACATGGTGCGTAGGCCAGTTGGATGCTGAGAAAGATACCATACAGATAGGTGGCAAAGCAGGCTTACATTTAAGGATCTCCTGCAACATAGTTTTGTAAATTTCTTCAAAGGTATTGTTGATCATCTCTGTACTTCATTGATTCATAAAATTCTAGCATTGGAAGGGAACTTGAGGGTCATCTAGTCCAATCCTCTGCAGTGCAGGGCTCTTCTGCCCAATGTGGGGCTCAAACCCAGGACCCTGAGATTTAGAGTCACATGCTCTACCAGCTGAGCCATGCTAGGGTCGCTTATCCCTTCTGTCTCTTGCACTTCCCTTGAGGAGCTCATCTTGGCGCAGGTGGTCTCTCTCCCCCCCCCCCCTTATCCTCTCAGCAAGCCTGTGATGTAGTTTAGGCTGTGTGGTAGAAAGCGACCTGTACACAGTCGCAGCCTGATCACGCTAGCTGTCTCACTCAACACCGAGAGCTGCATTTGCCACACAAATCCTGGATCACTAACAAGCAACATTTGTTTTAGCCAGACCAATTTAACTGGAAAGTTTGTTCTATCTAAAATGCCTTGCACAGCCCTCTTCCCCTTTCTATAATAGTCCACAGGTCTGTGAACAAAGGCATAGTAGAATTGTGTCTAGACTTCTTTCAGTATTAATAATATCATCTGTGCAGGATTATGTAATCTGCACTCACACGCAGCCCACTGCAGGATTTCCACCCTGCTTACTTAACATGAGTGACAAACACATTCTGATGTCTCACCATCTTTCAGTCGTTGTCACCTTAGCAGACTTCCTGAGTCCCACACAACTTGTTATCCTACAGGCAGCAAAAATATTCTTCTCCCACTCGAGCTGGTGAAATTCCCCACTGCTAAACAATTAGCCCTGGAACAATAATTGATTGGTTTTCTGCAATCCTCGGCTCCTTTGGGTGGAAGGAAGGGATAGAAATTAAATAACTAAAATTATGTAATGTCTCCAATTCCTGCTTCCCAGTCCCCAAAACACACTAGATCAGACCAAGGTCCATCAAACCCAACAGTGTTTTGAATAAGATGCAGGCCAATGCCTTTGAAATACCACAAGCAGGGCATCAAAGGTACTCAAAACATCTGTTAACTTAGAGATACACTGCAGTTGTATGTGGAGGCTATGATTTATGCCTATTCATGGATGGCTATTAGCCATTTTCCAAGTAAATATTCTGTTTCAAAAGCCAGCTTGCAGGGATGTTGCATGTTTCTGTACAGATCATTGATGTTAGTATGACTAAAAGGTAAAGGGACCCCTGACCGTTAAGTCCAGCTGCAGACAACTCTGGGGTTGCGACACTCATCTCGCTTTACTGGCCGAGGGAGCCAATGTTTGTCCACGGAGAGTTTTTCCGGGTCATGTGGCCAGCATGACTAAGCCGCTTCTGGCGAAACCAGAGCAGCACGTGGAAACACCGTTTACCTTCCTGCTGGAGCGGTACCTATTTATCTACTTGCACTTTTTTGATGTGCCTTCGAACTGCTAGGTTGGCAGGAGCAGGGACCGAGCAACAGGAGCTCACCCCGTTGCAGGGATTCGTATCGCGGGGATTCAAACCGTCGACCTTCCGATCGGCAAGCCCTAGGCTTTGTGGTTTAGTTAGCACGATGCAAAAAGATTAAAAGTGTGCTGCCCTATGAGTTAAATTTGGCATTTGCATCTGTATCCATGCTGAAGAAGCCTAGCCGGTACCCCCCCACCTGTTCCTCCTGCCCCCTTTTCTAATCCTGGAGACGTGGGCTTTGGTGATTGTTCCAATTTCCACAGCTCTCCAGCTGAGGCGCCCCCCCCCCCGGTATTAATATGCTAGGGCGGTTTAGGGGCAGGCTCATGGGCAGCAAGAAGGAAATCAGCCCTGCTCTGCCGGTAGACATGGGAACAGCTGCCCAGCCCATTTGCATCTGACATCTGGAACAGCGGAAGGAGCAGGGGAGTCAGATGTGCTGCATCTGGAACACTGAGAGGACAAACAGAACAATGGCAGAGGACCTGCTCCAGATCATTTTAAATATCCTTTCAGAAATTGCCTTCTCCAAGACCCGCTTTGCTGTTTTCTCATGGACTCTCCAAATTTGTGGGGCAAGCCTGTGAAGGTTAAAAAGTGATTATTTCCCAGTACACACACTGTGTGTGTGTGTGTGTGTGTGTGTGTGTGTGTGTGTGTGTTTCAGTGACAGGTCAGGGTAACCCTGCAGGCACGGGAAACCTGGCTCATTGTCAAACAGCAAACTGAACCTAAGAGCTCCTCACAGCAGGAATTGCTCCTGAACAACTCATAATGGCTCATCTTAGTGAGAAATAAGCATCCTTTTCTGTCCCTTCATCAGCTGGTAAATGCCAACAACTTGCAGGATTCGAGTAGCAACCATTGTGGGGCAAAGCTGTTGATTCATAATCAGAATCATTCATAAATATCACTTGTGTTTCTCTGATGAGGGGCACCTTTACTAAGTGCAACCAAAATGTTGGCTTTTGGACAATTGGTTTCCTAAGAGGAATGTTCCGCTATAGATATTAGGTTTAGGCTGTGATCTAGAACATGTTTACTTAGGAGTTTGGTCCCAGATGAATTCAGTAGAAATGACTTCCAAGTACAGATGCATAAGACCAGGCCACAAGTTTATCAGGCCCAAGCTAGCTGTTATGAAATATCTGCATGTTTGATTGCATGGATCAATGATTGATTCCCTGTTGCTTTGGCAGTCTTTCAGGACAGAGACAAACATAATGTGTGGCAGAAATGTTTTCAATGGCACATTTGCTACACTTCTTTTCAGGACAGCAGAAGCTTGTTCAGACCATTTCCACTACACTTGCACTGCCTGCCGCCATCATTTTTTATTCTTTGAAATGGCACATAAAGGCAGTGCCCACTGCTCCAAGTGGCAATTCCCGGATACTCCATTAATGGCATGTGCAAGTGGTATGTTTTACCACTTCAAGAACATTCATAAAACACATATTTTAAAGGTGTTACTAAAATAGTTGCTATCTTTTGAAATAATAAAGACAGAGGAATGAATAAAATGCCACTTCCAAAACTATGTATCGGTTTTGGAAGTGGTATTTTATTCATTCCTCTGTCTTTATTATTTCAAAAGATAGTGTTTTTTATAAAGTAGAAAAGCAAGATGGCGATGATTAAAAGGGAAGGGAAGCCCAGTTGGTATTTTCTTTAGCATTTTTGTATGATAAGTTATTTTATTGCAAGTCGCTCTGGACTAAGACATAGAACGAGTTCTACTGCCTAGTCTATACGACCTTTTTAGTCAGAGGACACTGAAGGACTACCTAATCTTCCACCCAGCAATATTAAGAAGACCTGAAGCAGCAATATGAAGCCTTAAGGAGGGGTGGATAAATCCTTCCCTTCGCCATCAGTCATGGATGAAATGGTGCTGTGTTTAAAAAGTCAACAATGAGTCCCTTTATATTATGGCTTTTTAAAGTTCTCAGGCTGTTAAAAACCATCACATGGCTGGACAGGTTGGTGGCAATTTCCTCTGCTTTCACCTCCTTTGTGTCTGAAAAACAAGCGAGCCAATAAAATACTAAATTGTGTTGCCAGCCTTGGATTGGGAAGGAGAGCTTCTTTCCACACAATGCCATTCCTAGCCTATCAAAGTTTCTGTATAGCTCTAGCCTCCATAGTTTTATACCCAGAGACATAAAATGGACACTTCAAATTAACATGCCAAATGGCTGGAAGGTAAATATCTCAACAACAGAAAATATTACAGTGCTCCTTGGAAGATGCTCATGCTTTGGCCAGAGAGAAGGAATTATACCATTGTGAAACAGCCACAGATAATGCCTCCTCCCTCTCTCCCTGCCCCATCTTTGAGATGCGTCCTGAGCAACCAATGAAACCAAACCTCAACAACAGCAACCAAGCACATTCCTGGAGGCTTTGATAATTAAATGAGCAAAGTTTTTCATTTCAGCAGACCCCATTCTCCTGTTAGCTTTGTTCAAGAAATTTTGATCTTTCTTTCTTTCTTTCTTTCTTTCTTTCTTTCTTTCTTTCTTTCTTTCTTTCTCTCTCTCTCTCTCTCTCTCTCTCTCTCTCTCTCTCTCTCTCCCCCCTGGCTTGTTTACAGTAGCAGGAAAGGTTGCACACCACAGCATGGTGAAGTCAATTTTAAAAGATAGGTAGTCCTGTCCTACCACTCTTCCTTCCAGATTGTGAAGTTGCAACTCTTTATTGCCCCACCTTGGGGGAGATTAATGGGCATCCCTGAAGCTCTCTCTTATAGGGGTAAGGATATGTATGCATGTGACTGACAAAGTAACAAGCACAATAAACATGTACAAGTATCTCCTGACCGTGTAACTGCCAGCCACGAGTCCCTTCATCGCAATATGCATTTGCTGTCCTATTGGAATGGTCAGTAGGGAATTGAAGTTTATTCTTAGTGGGCTCTGCATGACATGAGGCCGGTGATCAGTGAGGACTTATTTCTGTGTTCATATAAAGAGACTTCAGACCACTTTCTCCCCACTCCCTGCCAAAAAGTACCATTTGAAAGTATGAAAAGAGCAGTTTGCCGCTTCTTTAGGCTGTATACAGCAAAAGCATTCGGCCAAAGGGCCAAAAGGTTTCACAAGAGGCTACTGGGTACCATGAAGAATTGCTAATAGAGAAGATGTGAAGTTGTAAATATGTATTTTGCAGGACCAGAAAGTTGGAAAAATAGGTTTGGGAGGGGAGGACACCGTAATTGGAATTACAAATATGTAATGGTGTAAGGTTAGCATTGAAGAGCAGCCACGCTGAAGCTGAATGGCAGGGCATTGTGTGTGGTGTAATGTTCTGGACTTTCCTTAAAAGGCGCAAAGCTGCTGACTCTGCCCGGGGCTTGTTCTTCTCCTCCCTGCTCATCATGTGTCCCTGTTCTGTTCTCTTCTGTCTCTGCAGAAAGTGATGCTTCCTACAGGCGCTGCATTCCGGTGGTTTCAGTAGGAACAAGAATCCCAAAGCTCTGTCATCCAGTGCAATGTCACTGCTTGCTTGTGTTGTCTCAGGCAAGGCCTTTTTTGGGCGGAAATGAATGGATGCGCCTGTGTCTCCTTTAGAACCAAAAAAATTTTCTCGCAGATTTCATTCCTGTTTTTATAATTTTTTTGGCATTTGTTTAACATCTTCGAGTACTAGTAAAAAACAAACATTAACTGCTTTTCAAATAATTTTTTTAAAAGAATCCATAAAGTAACAAGACATTATAGAGTATGGACAATCAATTTATTTTCCTGTGTTTTGGTGTTGATGTTGTTTATGTGTGGAAGATGCAGTTTTTGTGTAGAGAATGTAAATTTACAGTAACCTTTTAAATCTAGTTACTAATAAGCACTACTGTAATTAGCACAGCTGTTTATTCATTCATATTTTTGTTTGATTAATTTCCATCATTAAAGAAAAATAGTGTGGCTAGTTTCTAGAATCGCTCAACTTCATGTTTATAAATGAGAATATGTTTAAAATAAGGTAGTTTCCCTTTCCCTAACATACACATAAGATTAAGGTTTAATCAGCAAAATGTTTGGTATGAAAAAGTGGAAATGTACTGCAAAACTGGCAAGTTTTTAAAGCAAAGCAAAATAATAATTAAGTTTAGACCAAGAAGAACTGCACACTAGAATAAACCTGGAATTAACTGCAATTATTCTCTTTTAGAAAAACATTACTGGAATTCAGATATAAAGCTATTGCAGAACCCGTGTTGGAAACATATATGAGTCTTTTTCTTCTGTTCAAAGCCCTTGTTTCCCTGCTTTCTGACCATCACTAACTGAAAGGCTGTTTGTAATGTTCTAGCAATTCAGGCTGTTTTGTGAATAAAAATGAAAGCATGTTTTGTGTCATGGTTTACATTTCCATTATTCTGTCTGTTTTGGTTGCATGCAGGGGGGCTTTGTTTGTTTATGTTTTGATTGCCATGGGGGGGGCAATACTAAGGCAAAACAAAAATGGCCTCTTTTAGGTATGTTGGGTTTCCTCCACACACACAGTATTTTCCAGTGTTTGCCATTCAGGTGGTATAAATTAAGGCAGCTGGTTATTTTTAAGGCTGCAACTCTAACCTTACTTTAAAGGTAAAGGGACCCCTGACCATTAGGTCCAGTCGTGACCGACTCTGGGGTTGCGGCGCTCATCTTGCTGGGAGTAAACTCCATTGAATGCAGTAGGATTTGCTTCCAGGCAGACATGATAGTATGATCTTCCAAGTCATATGGAGAGCAGACCCATTGATTTTATTGGGTGTGCTCTGAGGAGTACTGACATTAGAGATCACACCAAGGGTTCTTGTTTGTTCATGTTTTCTTTTTAAATAACTCCCCCCTCCAAGAAATGAAACAATGAGACCTTTCCCTTTGCAAGCAGCATTGTGTTACTAGCTAGCTGAACATGTTCCGCAAATACATGGGTATGGGATCTGGATTTATTTATCAACCCAAACAAACATCTGATAAGTTGAAAGGTCATCAATTTTCAGAAAGATTAGAAATTAACATAGCATTCACGTTTCCAAATTCTTAGGGATATTATCTGTCTTAGGCCACCGAATTGTTTTTGCCTTAAGCAAATGAGCTGCAAGTGGCTGTAGAGCAGAGGTAGCCAACACTGTGCCCGTCAGATGGTGTTGGACTACAATCCCATCAGCTCCAGCCACCTTGGCCAGTGGTCAAGAAACTGATGGGAACTATAGTACTATAACATCTGAAGTGCACCGTGTTGGCTACCCCAGCTTCAGGGGGTTATACACAATTGTTTCCCTCCATATGCATTTTCACTGAATTCCCCTTTCTCCCACAGCTCCCTAGGCCACCTCCCATGCTTTTCCAAAGTGTCTCTCTCTTTCCCACCCCCCCACCTCTCCAGAGAAGATGGGAAGGGGTGTGCAGAGGACAAAAATGTTTTTTGTCAACAAAGACACACAACTGGATGCAGCCCAGAAGAAATTAAATATTGGTTTATTTAGGGCTGTCAGTTACTGCAAACAAGGATTTGGAAATAGTCTTTCTCACACAGCTGCTGTCACCGAGTTCCTTGATATCTTGGGCTTACCTCTGTTTTGCATAAGGCAAGACAATCTCATTAACATAAAACAGTAAAAACACTTGTCAATAAAAATACTAGGTGAATGCTTAAGAGAGGGTTTATTTTATTTCTTAAGTGACTACACCAAGGAAGCAAACTTGTTCTGATATTGCCATTCAGTCGCTGCAAATATATTGTGAATTCATGCAATTCAAGGAAATCAAAAGTATAAATTGATTTGGAAACAAGGATGGAAGAAGGCAAGTTCTGTATCCCAGGACCACCAAGAATACGCCATACTTTTGAGCTATAGCACCACTTGCACTTTCCTCTTGCTTCACGGTCTTAGAGAAACAAGTTGTAATTTACTACTAGCAACACAAAATAAGCAAATACAAGGAAAACCGAATTCCAGGTGAGCATGGACTAGGTTCCTCCCAACCCTGCTTGCCACAAACCACTTGGTTTGACTCAACTGGGCATCCCACCATCCTGTGGAAGTACTGTACCTCAAAAACAAAATGTGGACTTAAAGCCATGAAGATTGGCTGGAGATTGGGGGAGGAGGGCAGCAGGAATATGTGGTGAATTTTTGGAAGTCTGTTGCTTCCTGGGGTCTGCTGGTGCCAGGATTAGCAAAAGACAGAATATGTTACGAAGCAAAGGCATGCAGCTTTCAGAATTCTCATTTTCTTGACACAGAATTTGTAGTGCCTTAAGTGCACGTATTTTTAGTGCATGTAGTTTGTATTTTTTTACCACAGAAATGCACACAGCTCTTAGGTACAGAGTTGATCAGGATCACATACTTTAAAGGAATAGGTACTCTTTTAGAGGTCTTGCAATGTCATAGAAAATAAGCACCGTTTCTGATCACACAATGGACATCCTGAACGCTGCAGATGAGAGAGATGTTCTGTAATCGGGAAAACCACAGCACACAGCTTTCAGACACAATGGGCAAGCAGACATCTCCGTAATCCTAGACCTGCAACTGCTAAGAATAGGCAAGATAACACTGCGGCCTCTGAGTGATGGTAGAATGTGGCTGTTGGCATTACAGAGGCAGCTGGGTGGCCAAACCTCTACCCACAGATTTCTGTTTTAATAGCAGATAAACTATAGTGGTGGTGGGGGCCACTAGGGGGCGCATTGGAAGATGGCTGACAATACCATCTCTCCAACCCACACGGGGTAATTAAGAGGCTCTTATGGGAGTAGGCAGCCTCCCTTGTTGCCCCAAGGAAATGGGGAACACTGCCCTTGCCTGCTGTGCCCATAAATCACCCCTAATTCGAAAGAAGGGGGTGAGGGCCCTAGGCAGAATGCCCCCGTGTGGACATCGGCTCTCCTGGATGCTGTCTCTGATCGCGCACTAGTTGCAGCAATTTGGAATAATTAATTACAAAAGAAGCAAATGCACATATTTCAAGTGAAGAAGGGGAGTGAAGTTGCTAATTTAAGTGACCTCTGCGAAAGAAGACGACGGGCTGGAGAAACAGGAATATTTTACGATGAAGATACACCAAAGGCTGGGTAAGTTGACAACAGGGCTGAATGGGGGGGGGGGGACCTTTTTTACTTTCCTTCTATGTGATTTACAAGAACCCCTCCTCATTAGAACCGTCGGTTGAACTGACCCAAGCAGGATGATTAAGGTCTGTGTGGAGATAAAACTTTAACCAAAAGTATGCTTTATGGAGACCGAGAAGCAATAAGAGCTTTTGGGAATGGCGCAGCAATTAATTCAGAGTCGCCATCTTGCCAAAGGATTTATAGCCGGGAGGAAGAACGGATTTGTTTTCAGACTGCATTCCTAGTGAATCTCCTCAGAGGTTTTGAGAAAGGAGGCAGATTGGTGAAGATTAATGACGCTAAGACTGTTTTGATGTATGGAAGTGATGTTATATGGAAAACGTCTGGATATGGCTACTGGATAAAAAATTAATATCCACGCAGGATTACAAACTGTTCTAACCAGCTTGTGGAGACTATCAGAGGTCACAAAGAGAAAGGAAAAATATATGAAAATAACAACAAGAGATGTGGAAAAATAATAAGAAAGGACTGGATAGTACTGTGAACATCATAAGGTTAGATTTGTGGACATTAAAACAGCAGTAAGAAGCAAGAAGTTGATTGGATCCCTTCGGAACTTGAAATATGGGTACCCCCAACAAAAATTTAAAATTTGGCTGTGTAATTTGGAATTTATGTAATTTGGTTTGATTTGATGTGATTGGTCGGTTAATAAAAAATTATTCTTAAAAAAAAGATAAACTATAGTGGTGTGAGCAGCTTTTCATGCCACAGAGAGAACAGTTGCGTTTCTGTGATGCCTTCACAGACGTTGCCACAGCTTGTTTGGAATGCTTGTGATGCAACGTTTTGGGTTTCCAAAGCAGACTAAAATTCAGTTACCAATTCTATACCCACACCATCCTGAAAAGGAATCCTCCCCTTAAAAACTATGCAAAATGATGCTGGAAAGGAATTCCAAATTGCATTGAGCATTTGTCATAGATAGAAATTGCTGACTTCTCAGCAATATTCCATGGAATCTGTAATGAAGAGTAGTGTATAAATCTTTACAAAATATATTTGCTGGCAATGCTCATGGTGTTCTCTGCTAAACAATTATGTGGGAAATGTTTCCTACTCAGAAGTCAGTGCTGACACAGTTTATACCACCACTTCCTTCCTGTTCTAGGCCTACACACTCAACTAATGCAAATTCGGCCCAAGAGCACATTTCAATTTACTATCATCATTTAAATTTGTGTTTAAATTCTTGTCCGATGCTTACCCCACTGGAAACCTGCTTTGCACCAGTTCAGACTATTTGCTCATCTAATTGCTCCAGGGATTCAGGCAGAGGCCTCTCATGGCACAGGCTACCGGAATCTTTTAACTGGTAACCTTAG